TTATGCTGACACCATCCTTGTACTAAATTTCTTTCTCATTACCTTTCCTTTCCCTTCCCTCCCAAACTTTCCTTTTCCTCACCTTTGACCTTGACACACTTCTTCACATATATATACCACTGTTACATGTTGTTATTATTAAATCTACTTCGACATTACATCATCATTTATTTCAGAACAAATTGTAGTATATACATGTTTACGCTCCATCAACATTTATGATATTATTACAAATTTCCCTCACATAACCTTCTTCAAATATACTCTCCCTCCTTAAATGATGGTTATGGGTGCAAACAAATTCGCAACTGCAAATCTCACCGCACCATCCGCAATGAATGTGGACTTCGTCGTGGAGGTGAACTTCTAACATCCACAAATTCGACACTCGCGTACACAACGATATTATTCTACCATTATTGGCTCCATACCGGCAACTCCCACACATAGGTAGATAACGAACATTATTCCTATCGCAGTACAACACGTAAGCAGAACATGCTTTATAGTTAATTTTGCACTCAAACAGTTTACGGGCTACGCTCCACTCTTTCATCCGACTGATGTCACTTACATACCTCATTGCTTTATTTTCACTGTACTGCTGTCTATCCACGTAGTCTCCTCGATGTAACACGACATTACGATGTACTTCGTCCAAAACCTCCATATATTCAACAATATTCCAATGTTGTACGTCTTCTACACCATCACACACTTCATGGATACAGTTGCCGCTACTTACATCCATTATCACACTTCAATTTTCATACTTCTAACTTTTATGTGTAACACTTTGGTTGTCTTTCATTTATACTCCCTTCCACTCAACCACCTTTTTTCCTCCTCCTAAACGTATCTCTACTTCTTTCCCTCTCTCCAACAAATAATTTCTTTTCAAAATCCGCATTCATTCTAGTATAAATTCAACAATATAAGTATTAATAATTATACTCACTGACATCGCCTAGAGCCAATAACATCATGTGACCAGTAACAGCAACCGTTTAACAGTAACCATTTAACATTTACACGTTTACGATCGATGACGTTTCGTCAGTTACCTACTCCTCTGTGCTAGAATCGGTTATCTTACCCTACTGGGAGGAGGAGTTACATCCAGCAACCTTTGCCTCTACCTATGGATTGTACCACCGGCCATGACACATCCAATTAGTATATAAGCTCATGATTTTCTCATTCAAACAACAGTTTACTTTATAGGTCAAACCTATGTAACTTGTTCATTTGGCATCAATAGTGTGTAATTAATAAAATATTAAGGGTAATAACGGTTCCTGAAAACCGAACCAAATAAATTTGTTAAGACAAAGTGTTTTTTAAAATTCCATTCGAATATCGTACGTTTTAACTATACGATGACATCCATCCGTTACGTATAGATACAAGTTGAAAAATTTATGAAGACTATAATAAATACAGAAGAAATGAAATACTGAAGTTTTACAAAGAACTCTATGCAAAACAGAAGGAGATAGGAGAAAATCGTGTTCGAATAGCGAATGAAAACAGATACACCCGAAATTGAAGACTTTTATAGAAACAAAAAAACCGAAACAAACTTAAAAATAAAGTTAAGAAAATGTAAAACATTTCACAAATGAACACATCACTTATGTTGTTAGATAATTAGAATGGCAACTAATGAAAAAGCATTACTGAAAGACAAAATGAGTTCACTAGTTTAGCACATACAATCTCTAACCAATATAAAGAAAATTTACAACAATTGGGAAATTACACGAAGAGTATAACAGAAAATTTAAATAAAATAAATGAAAGAACATAGTCATACATAAATGCACAATTCTGTCTTAACATTTTGAACGTTTTGATAGAAAAGGTTTTACTAATAGAAAGGTCAATTACTTTCAGTAATGAAAATCACCTAGACCTTGAACTAATTTCTCTTGATACCTTTTCTGAAATTAAACAGCATCTTCTTTTAACACATTTCCTAAGCAGACAATGCAATACCTAAATTCTTCTAATTTATATGAGGGTTTTTTTTATTAAATAATTATTTAAGATGAATTCCTATGGACCAACAAGGAAGGACAACGAACTAATGGTCTACTAGTTTTCAAGAATGCCAGAAGTGATGTTTGTGAGTTAAACGAAAGTCTACATTCGTCAAAAGTGTTACAGACAAAAGTGTCTCTATTCAATATAAATACTCGTGTCCAAAATTACTTCTTCACTTATACAGGTGTATTGGTCCGCGAGACATCTCCTTTGTGAGTTACTTTTCAAATTTTGTTGTGTAATGACGTAAATAAATTTAAAGCGGACTTTAGGAAGTTAGCAATTTTTAAAACGCATAACAGTAGAAATAGTTAGAGAGCTATTTTTGAAATTAATCCTGTTAAAAATGTTAATAAGCCAATTTATGTGAATTGGCAGCGGGTTTTCATTAGGGACAATTTTTCATTGTTACAGTGCTTCCAATGTTACGAATTATCAAAAAATTGTATGGTTGAAAAACAGATTTGCGGTTAATGTGGCGCGAAACACAGTTTCAAGGGCTGTAAATCAAAAACTACCTCGTGCGTGGTTTGTATTCGGCCCAAAAAGGTCAAAAAACAAGTGCCTATTAGTACTGATCATGACGCCAAGAGCCAGTCTTGGCCGACAATGAATTGAATAAAAAATTCTATTTCAGCAAATATAGATTTTTATGGAAATTAAAACCCATAAAACTAACCCCGACGCGGCTTTGGTTTTAAATTTTAGCCAAATTAATTTAGGTAAGGACAAGGCGGCTACTAGCAATCTCTTAAAGGTAATTTTATATAAAAAAAACTAGACATTCGTTTTGTACAAGAACCTGCGATCAATAGATCGAAAGTTGTTGGTTTTTCTAAAAAAAAAATGTTTCTTGAGATAATATAAATATCATTGAAACTACCGTAAATACCATAACAATGGTTCTTGTTAATGTCTGTTTACCACCCGCGAGGTCGAACGTTGACGACATAATAATGTCGAATCTACTTTTGTTGGACATCGCGGGTCAAGTTTTGTTGATTTAACGTTAGTAAATTTTAATGCATTAAATTTAATAAAAAATTGGCTTTTATCGGACGAAGAAACACTCCCACAAATTAATCACGTTGCAGATTTCGTTTGATAAAAACGAAACTAATATCGCTGACCGTAGATTTTGTAATAAAAAAGCAAATAAGTAAATTTTTCGGACAGTTTTAGGGATGTTTTATGTCAGAACGCGCAAATTTTCTACTTGACTGCATAGTTACAGCGTGTGCTTCAATGCCACTTAAAAAACCATTCGCGAAAAGTGTACGGTAACAGGAAGAAAGATATCAGCCAGCTGTTTTTGGTCTGATATTGGGCGATTATCAGATGGGCTGGGGGCCTCGAAAATGTCCCGATATGTGTCCTCTACTAGTTTGAGCGGTGGGTGTTCGGAAGAAGGGACGATTTTGCGGCATGAGAAAATAATGTCCGCAAGAGTTGTTTTGTTACGTACGAACAGATCTTGGGCGTTTTTAAAGGCGCTGGACCGTAGTTTTTATTAATTTTGTTCTTACTTTCAAGTCTTCTGTGTGTGGGTTTTTTCTGGATATCTCTTGAAGGTATGCATCAACTCTTGATATCAGCCTTTCCCTGGATGGGTCTATAATTGTATAAGATATCAGATCCCTTAGGGAGGAGTGTTTATCAGGATCCAGCTCAACGAGAGCGCCTTGAAGAGATGAATATGTTAATCGATTGCGCTCAGTGCCGGACAACTGATTTGGGGAAGCGTTCTGTGAAGATTTTTGAAGATTGCCATTGCTGGAGTCAGCTGAAGAGTTCGAATCAGACAGAGAGCAACTCACTTCGCAGCGGATCTTCTTATGTAATGAATAGATTGGTAAGAGATACGATAGGTTTTCTGGGTCTAGAAGGGCCAGCGATTTGAGAGCAGTGCATTCCTGGAGAAGATGCAATTGGAAGAATAGCCTCAGGCGTGGTTATTGGCATACAGGTAAGTGTAATCTCTTTTTCAGATATTCTAGCAGGAATAGTTAGGAATGTATCGTTGGAAGTATTTCCATCGCCTTTAGATATAGAGGACGGCGAACAATATAGCGTACGAGTAAGAAGTTTAACAAGTTTAAGTTGATCCATTGGTGTTTTAACATGGTGAACGTAGGTCATGCTGTCTTCGTAATTGTCCCTAGAGGTCGTATGGGGCTTAGTAAGCGACAAAGTGCTTTCTGCATCCGCAGGGGTGAATGAGCAGGCTAAGGAACTAATGAGCCTACCAGAAGAAGCTTCGGCTTTTTGTTTGGGGCTCGGCTGTTGAGGGTGGAGAGTAGTACCCGTAGGATTACGCAGAGGGCTGCAATCCGCCTTAGAAGGTACGGATTACATTCGAATTTTTTCCTTAGCGCGATCCAGATAATCTTTATATTCAAGCTTCTCTCGCCTGTGCCTAATTTGATGTTTGGTTAGGATAGTAAAAGTAAAAAACTCTTCCCGGGTCTCCCGACGGCGTCTGCGGGTCCTTATGGGTTACCCCAAGGAACTCTCATGCGAGGGCCCGACTTGTTAACGGTTCCGCTGCCGAGTTCCGGAATAGGAACCGGATTCCTTTTCGCCCGTCGGACGTGAACGGACTGCTTATCATGGTTCAATAAACACGCCACATCGACATCGGCTTTCGCCTAGGGCTTAGGATCGACTGACTCGTCTGCAACGGCTGTTCACACGAAACCTTTCTCCACATCAGTCCTCCAGGACCTCTCTGAAGTATTTGCTACTATGTACCACCAAGATCTGCGCCAACGGCAGCTCCAGACCGCTCTGCGCTCACCATCGTGACCCTCCTCCTCGTCAGAGCTTCGTGACGCGACCGCTACGACCGCGCAGCTCCTCCTGCTGACGGCAGAGTATAAGCACGACGCTACAGCGCCATCCATTTTCAGGGCTAGTAACTTCGACAGTTCGCATCGCGCAGTAGAGCCATTCGGTTGTGCGATGTCCGAGAGAATCGTAATGCCACGCCCATCGAACCGAGTGAAGACGAACGAGTTAGTCAGTTATGCGAGTGAAAGCAGTGTGATGGAGTGCAGCTCCGAGTCCGCGAAACGAAAAAAGACAACTCCATGGTGTGATGACGAGCCGGAGTGCGTTAGTGCTGTGGAAAGTAAAAAAATGCGTCGTAGTGATAACGGAGAAACGTGTCAAACATTCGGTAAGTACCCAGAATACACTATGCCCGCTAATGCGGGGCATCTTTTTAAGGTAATTCGGGAGTTAATACCTTTGAAGGCAGAGACCATTAAAGTTGCGGACCGACGGATTATTCGGGATACGGCGGACCAGCTGATGGAGGAGCTCGTCCAAATGGCCGGAGTTGTGAAAGAACATCGTCATACCATCGCAAGGAACGACGCGGAAGTAAAAGAGACCAAGGAAAACACCACAAAAGAAGTACGTACGCCTAGTTTTTCGTATGCGGATAAGCTTAGGGCAGGGAAAATCCTTGCAATAAGCAATAGGGTAAGCGAAAATACATTCCCAGTTAGGATAGAAGCCAAAAAAGTAGGGAATGATGCAAAAAATATGAGGAAAGTTGTCATGCGCTCGGTAGACCCGATAAAAGATAATATCGTGGTTAAAAATGTTAGGGCTACGAAACGAAGGTGTCTTGGTACTCGATTGCGCCAGGAAGGAAGACGCGAAAAAAAAAATAAAAAATCACTATTAATTAAAGCGAAAGTCGATATTGCGGTAAAGAATATAAAAAAAACGGTGGCCTAGAGTTAGGGTTTATAGAATCAACAAAGAGTTAAACGCGGACGATTTACACGAAACGATCTTAGGTCATAGTGATTTTATAGATAGTTTTTATGGTAAGGATGTTAACAAGTTTAAAGCGGACTTTGGATACTTATCAAAAAAGTGTAAGGTAAATGAGCAGATTTGCGGTAAATGTAGCGGTAAACACCGTTTCAACGACTGTAAATCTAAAACTACCTCGTGTGTAGTTTATGTCAGGTCTAATAAGGATAAAAAACACGCGCCCGTTAGTGCAAATCATGACGCCAAAAGAGTAGTCTTGCCCGACGGTGAAAAGAATTAAAAACTCTATTCTAGCAAGTATAGATTTTTATGGAAACTAAAAACCATAAAAATAACCTCGACGCGGATTTCGTTTTAAATTTTGGCCAAATTAATTTAGGGAAGGGCAAGGCGGCTACTAGCAATCTCTTGAAGGTTATTTTAGATAAAAAATTAGATATTTGTTTTGTACAAGAACCTACGGTCAATAGATCGAAAGTTGTTAGTTTTGCTAAAAATAACTTGGTAACTTATAAATCGTGTAATATTCCTATAGTAGCTGTTGTAAATATTTCAAATACTTCTTGTTTATTTTTAGAAAGTATTTCTTGTGATAATATAATTGTTGTTGAAATTGAAATGAAATGAATATGATTTTTTTTGCAGATGGATAAGGCGTTATTCATTTGACTTTTTTATTGTTTGCAGTCAGCGTCGAACCAAGGTTTCTTATTAGCATTTTCTGTCTTTTCAAAAAATCGAGGATCGCATTAATAAGACTGTCGTTCATATTATCGACGGAATCAAAAATTTTACAGACGTCCGGGTGGAACGCAGGTTGATCTTTAAATTCTGTTGCGCGGTTATCTCTCCATATCAATTTCTCCATTAGGTTGTCCTGAGTCTCATTCAAAATTTTATCAAACGTTATAATGATAGGAAAATGATCTGATCGCGTTGTAAATTGAAGAACTTTAAAATCTCTCAATAAATGTAAACTATTCGACGAGCACCAAAAAAGATCAACTACACTTTTTCCATTATAAGCAATGTGCGTATAATTCGCGGGGGTGTCACTACGCGACCTACCGCTTAATACCAAAAGATCGTGTTTCTCCATCAAATGGGTCAATTCTCTACCTTTAGACATCGCCAATGTATCTTGTGACTTTCTATCGCAGAAAAAATTTTAATTTAGCAATTCCGCTGAGTATGGATTCAAATGACCAATTCTACAGTTCAAATCTCCCCCGATAAAGATAGGAGTACCTTGGTAATTAAAAGAAAGTAACAATAAATTTTCATCAAGATCATTTAAAGTATGTGTAATTTCATTCAACGGAGGAATATAAACAGAAATCAGTAAAAAACTGTTTCGAATTGGATTCTACATATAATAAAATGTTTTTTTGACTGAATAATTTTAAGTGTAGTTTTTTGTTATCATAAAATATTATAAGAACGTCAGTAGGCCTCCCGAATCTACCCAGTCGAGTTGCCGGACTAGCTACAAAACCAGTGAAAGGAAACGGTACAAACGAAGGGTTGTCCGTAAGCCAAGTTTCGCATACACAGAGTATATCCGATCTACCTACAACGCCGAGGATGTCACTCAAGTTCTTGTAGCCTTGCAGGTTCCAAAAGATAAGGTTGAGTGTAGTTGGATTTGCTCCTTGAACTGCATCCTGATTGTGGATCCTCCTCGGAGTAGCGTGTTGCCCATGATCAGTAGGTTGGCGGGTAACTCTTGACAGGTCATGGGACCTGGTGCACTACCGCATTGACAGTTGGTGAAAGTCGCAGGGTGCATTCTGTGAACTGCGCCCTGCGATTGGTCAAGATTTGCGACGGATATCTCAGTGCGAAGCTCGTATGGCGTAACTGACGAGTGTACCTGTGTAGACGACTGAGACCACAGCCCGTGAGCTGAGGATTACGATGCCGCAGCAATTCTGTTGCAAAACCCGTGGGTTGCTACAGGGATGGTGTCCTGGGTGGTCATGAAGGAACACAACCCGTGAGTTGTATTTTGATGCTTTGGGGGAGGCAACGCAAAATATTCGGTGTAGGGCCTGTGTTGTGAAATTGAAGCATTAACGGAATCCGAGATCAGCGGATTGCGATGTCGTTTGGAGTCAGTAACAATGGCCTGTTCGCCAAATCGTAGTTGATTAGTGTAAAGTGGGGTGGGGATGCGTGGAGAAGTGACTTCTCTAGATAAGAGCACAGCTGTCCGACGTGACTGCTGGCTGCCGAACTCTCCCAAACGCTCATGTCATGTCTCGATTGCGATGGTCGTTTCGCTCTCGCTTTGCTCTGTTTGATCCTCACTGTTTACACTGTGCAGGGCTTTTACAAAGTTGGTTCGTAGGGACGCATTTATTTCCTCCACATCGGGTACTTTGAATAGCATCAGATTACTCGCACGATCTCTGTTTTTAAGATTATCAATTTCCGTTTGTAGATTCACGATTTGGGCTTTCATGGCGTGTATTTCTTCGCATATTGGTTTTATTTTCGCATTCTCAGCTCTCACGGAATCCATTTCACCATCAATTCTCTGCACGTGGCCTAGAATTTGATAGATTTCTTCTTCCATGGTCAGGTTCACTGGAAGTTCAGCAACCGAAGAAAGGTGTCCCGTCGTCATCTCATCTCAATCCCGTTGAACTCACTTTTCACGAAAAGAGAAATAAACAATACGACACTCCACACTTTCGACTCAAAATTCGATATATTATTTGCTCTGATATGAGGCGGAATCAAAACACGTCCGTTCGCTCGAAAGGTCAAAGCCGAACTCCAACAATACAGTATGTTACGAACAAAGGGAAAGAAATTTCACACAGAACTGCGGCGGCGGCAAGATTAACTAGGGGTTTCAGACTTTTTGCTGATCTACCACGCGACAACGACATTATTAATGTACAACTACAGGACCGAAATCTCGAACGACGTGTCAACCTGGTGGACACTACGCATCAAGCGGACATGGACAATTTCCGGTTTACGGAAGGAGTCCAAAATGACTACGAGACTGTCTGCTATACAGATGGATCGATATTGGACGACGGTCGAGCTGGAGGATCTTTCATACTCTACCACGGCGATACGGAAATTCATCGGGAAAATTTTACCCTCGCGGAAAATAGTACTATCCTTCAGTGCGAAATTGTAGCACTACGACAGGCAGTAACACATCAACAGGGGCAAACGAACATAATGAAGGAGTGCTCCATCGTAACGGACAGCATGTCTGTTTAGACGGCTCTTCGCAACATGAAACAACCGATCGCTTTCTTCGCGGTCAACTAGGCAGCCGAAATTTCCCTACGATTCCATTGGATACCGTCGCATTCTGGTAATGCGAAAAACGACGCTGCGGATGAATTAGCGAAGGCCGCGGCCACTGACCAGGCGACAGCACCCATCCACGACCTGGTGCCCAGAGCAGTCGTAAAACGACGATTGCGCACTTTCTCTCAGAAGGCTTGGAGAGAACGATGGAAGACTGCTACAACCAGAAGGACTACGGCGAGTTTCTTACCGGAACCCTGTTATGACAGGAAAATCACCGGAAATTTCGACTTCCACATGGTTCAACTGATGAAAGGACACGGGAATTATAAATCATATCTTAAGCGTATCAGCAAAATCGAGGACGACGTTTGCAAATGCGGTGGCACCGATACGACGGAATACGTCCTGTTCGAGTGCGACTTAGTTGAACAACATCGCGGTGCCGCCGACCGGGCCCTCACGAATCGCGGCTTAAGGTGGGCGACTACTTTCGACGATAACGTGAGTCATTCACAACAAGATAGCTACGTGTGTGTTCGACGTTGTGCTACCAAAGTAATTGCTATTAACCGGGATAAACAAAATTAAAATTTCGCGAGATATTGTATTCGGGGTTTATGTAAATATGTATATATAAACTTTCAACTGCGAACTTCGATTCGAACTGTATTTTTTTTATTTTGTATATAATTTTTCCTGTCTTTTAATGTAAATGCTTATGTATACATTGGGCGATGCTTCGGCACTAAAATGAAAAGCAGTACGGTATATTAAACATTCTTGCTAGTTCTAATTTGATTCCATTTGACTATCGAAATATTGCTGTCATGATGGTGCCGAAGCAACGTAATGGGTAAGAGTTCGTAGTGGTCTAGTTAGGTTTTTCTGGGTTTCCCCAACCCTTGCAGCGAATGTTGGACCACATGTAAATATTTCCCAGGCTGCACAGAAGCGAGCTCTAATTCTCCTAGTAGTACATTTTTCTTTTCTGTAAACACTTTCATATGCGGTATTTTAATTTTCATCGGATGCCCCGATACGAATATGCAAAACAGTTGCACAATAAATTTATTTGTATTTTATTCTCAATACATAAGTTCTAATCATGTGGAAACATCGTTTTGCGTATTCCAAACGGGACATCCTAACTCAATGTAAGTATGATTAATGCAGGCCCTCCTCCCTCTCTGCTCACGATTAAATTGTCTCTTACGTAAAATAAACAATAAAATTACTTTAGAAGGTTCAGGTGTTTTTTCTCCCGGGAAAAGAGCAGACGGAGGGGAAAAAGTAGAGATTGTAGTTATATCGAGTTGATAAGTTCATTTTTAGTTTTATTCTTATATAATTAAAATAGCCCATAAATACCTTTTGTAAATATATTATTTCGAATGGGCCGAAGGAACGCGAACGTGTGTCGCTAACGCGAGCGAGTGCGGGCCCGCGATGGAATCCACTATCGAATCGATGAAACGTAAAAACTCTGATTTACCGTGGAGTGACGAAGTTTCAGAAACTTCAGAAAACAAAAAAACCTAAGCGGCAAATTAAACGAGAATTTACTTCTGTTATAGGTTCTCTTCCTAAGGACGAAATGTTGACCAACGCGAGACGTTTTTACAAAACAGTAAGAGCTCTAACTAAGCGAATAGAATAATTAAGCGCGCGGAATATAGTCGCGTTTTTCGGAAATATAAAGAACTACTTGAAAAAACGAGAACCAATAAATTCAGGGAATTTTGCACTCGAAACTCCGAAAAGGACCCGTGGGGAACGTCCTATAAAGTAAACAGCAATTATACAAAAAACACACGGGACACCGCCAAATATATTTTAGATTCTTTTTTCCCGTCGGACAATCCAGATACGGACAATCAATCCCATCGTCATATTCGCGAGATTGCAATCCGGGATAATTTTAATGAAGAAAACGAGTTTTTTAAGGAAATGACATGCGGAAATTGAACGGGCTTTGAACAGAATGAACATGCGAAAAGCACCAAGACTCGACGGCGTTACTTCCGATGCAGCCCTGGTAGCATTTCAGACCGCTCAGGATGTTTTTATTAACATTTTTAACGAGTGTTTTAAATTTAGCGTTTTTTCAAAATGCTGGAAAGAGCAACAGGTAAAAATTATTCCAAAACCGGGTAAACGCGACTTTCAAAACGTAAAAAGTTTTCGGCCTATTAGCTTACTACCGATTGTAGGCAAAGCTTTAGACAGAATTTTCACTACGCGATTACAATTCGAAATTAATAAAAAAGGAGATATCAATAGTAATCAGTACGGGTTCGTAGCCGGTCGGTCCACCACAGACGCTGTAACTGCAGTCATAAAGAGTATAAAAATCTCACGCGAAAATGACAATTACGTCCCTACTATTGCGATAGATATTTTTGGGAGCCTTCGACAATGCTTGGTGGCCGCGAATTATTTTCGAATTACAAAGACGTAACATTTCGGGAACATTAATCAAATTATTGCAAAATTATTTTAGCGACAGAACCGCTGTCGTTACTATTAGTTCGCATTGAGTAGCCGAAGCAAGCGGTTGTGGGATGTCGGAAGGCCAGCGAGTAGCCACGCCTACCAGTGCAAGTCGTGTTCGGTTCAGTTCGATTACTAGTGTCGCGAGCGAATCGAGTGCGCGCAAGAGTCCATGAAGCGGAAAAATTCACAATGGTGCGATGACGAGCCCGAATTCGCGAAACGGTCGGATAATAAAAAACCAAAACGTCGGGACAGCGGGGAATTAACACATGTCAGGGGAAGTCTGCCGGAAGACATGTTGAGCGGTGACGCGAGGCGATTTTTTAAAATCATTCAGGTGTTGGTTCCGATGAAGGCGGAAACTATAAAAGTAGCAGACAGGAAAGTAATCAGGGAAACGGCCGATCTATTAATGAAGAGTTTGGTCCAAATGGCGGGAGTTGTTAAGGAGCTGCGACATACAATCTCCAAAAAAGACGAAGAAATAAAACAAGCCAGGGAGTCAGCAACAAAAACTGTAAGTACTCCGCCATTAATGTCTTATTCTGATAGGTTAAAGTCAGGGAATAATGTACCACTTAAGCCGCGAGTAAACGAAACCTCTTTTCCGGTACAGATCGGGTCTAAAAAAGCAGGTAAGGACTCAGACTTTATTAAAGAAGTAGTAATGCGCACGGTAGATCCCATAAAAAACAACATTGCCGTGAAAAATGTTAGGGCTACAAAATCGGGAAATATAGTTATAGATTGTGCTAGGCAAGAAGACGCAGAGAAAATAAAATTGTCGCTTTCTGTGCAGGCTAAAGACGAAGTAGAAGTCAAAGACATTAAAAAACGGTGGCCAAGTGTCAGGATTGATAGGATCAGCAAAGAACTAAACGCTAGGGACATCCATGAGACTATTTTAGGGCACAACGACTTTATAGATGAATATTGCGGAAATGACGTAAACAAATTTAAGACACATTTCAGACAATTAGCTGTTTTCGAGACCGGCGGCAATAAAGAAACTTACAGCGCAGATTTCGAAGTTAATCCCACACTTAGGGTTAAAATGTTGGATAGGCCAATTTATTTAAATTGGCAAAGAGTCTGGGTTAGGGACCACTTTTCAATGTTGCAGTGCTTTCAGTGCTACGACTTTGGCCATCTCTCCAAAAACTGCAAAATAAAGGAACAATTATGCGGTAAATGCGGCGGAAAGCACCATTCCAAAGATTGTAAATCAAAAACTACGTCATGTGTAGTGTGCGTCCGGTCTAACAAAGATAAAAAGCGTGCTCCGGTAAACACCGATCACGACGCGAAAAGTAGCTCTTGCCCCACAATGAATAGAATAAGAAACTCTATTCTATCTAACATAGATTTTTATGGTAACTAAAAACCATAAAAATAACCCCGACGCGGATTTCGTTTTAAATTTCGGCCAAATTAATTTAGGTAAGGGCAAGGCGGCTACTAGCAATCTCTTGAAAATTATTTTAGAAAAAAAATTAGATATTTGTTTTGTACAGGAACCTACGGTCAATAGATCGAAAATTGTAGGTTTTTCTAAAAATAACTTGGTAATTTATAAATTGTGTAAAGTTCCTAAAGTAGCTGTTATTGTAAATAACTCAAATATTTCTTGTTTATTTTTAGAAAGTATTTCTTGCGATAATATAATTGTTGTTGAAATTACCGTAAATACCATAACGATAGTTCTTGTTAATGTCTATTTACCACCTGCGGGGTCGAACGCCGACGAGAACAAGTTTCTCGAACGCCTTAATTACGTTTTCTCAGAACTCGACCAAACAAGACCTATTGTTATGGCAGGTGATTTTAATGCGAAAAATTATATTTGGGGCAGTCCGATAAATGACAATAGAGGTAATAATATTTTGGAAATATTTGAAAATAATAACTTTATCGTTTTAAATAATAATGTCGAACCTACTTTTGTTGGACATCGCGGGTCAAGTTTTGTTGATTTAACGTTAGCAAATTTTAATGCATTAACTTTAATAAAAAATTGGCATTTATCGGACGAAGAAACACTTTCTGACCACAAATTAATCACGTGGCAGGTTTCGTTTGAGAAAAACGAAACTAATATCGTTGACCGTAGGTTTTGTAATAAAAAAGCAAATTGGCAAACATTTTCGGACAGTTTTAGGGATAGCATAGGAAATATAGTACTAATCGACGAAAATGACATTTCAGAACGCGCAAACTTTTTAAATGACTGCATAGTTACAGCGTGCGAGGCTTCTATGCCACTTAAAAAACATTTCGCAAAAAGTGTACCGTGGTGGACCAAACAACTTACCGAAAAAAGGTCCCAATCGCGGAAAATTAGACGTTCTTTTCAGCGCGAAAAAAATCAAGCGGCACGAGAGATCAAGCGCGCGGAATACAACCGTGTGTTCCGTGAATATAAGGAGCTTTTAGAAAAAACTAGGGCAAATAAATTTAGGGAATTTTGTACGAGGGACTCTGAAAAGGACCCGTGGGGAACAGCATACAAGGTCATCCGCGGAAAAAACACAAATAGGTCTTCAATCCAAAATTTAAAGTTGCCCGACGGCACGTACACAAAAAACACAAGGGACACCGCGGAGTTTATTTTAGATTCCTTTTTCCCGTCGGACGACCGCGGCACGGATAGTGAATCGCATCAGCGAGTTCGCACGGCCGCACAAAATTTAATTGATAACGACCCATTTTTTAAGGACATTACGTACGCGGAAATTGAACGCGCCGCAAGCAGGATGAACCCGCGGAAAGCACCGGGACTCGACGGGATAACTTCCGACGCAGCCCTGGTAGCATTTCAGACCGCACCGGACGTTTTTATAAAAATTTTTAACGATTGTTTTAAAAAGGGCATTTTTCCAGCTTGCTGGAAAAAACAGTCCGTAAAAATTATTCCAAAGCCGGGTCAAAGGAATTTTAGCGAGGTAAAAAGTTTTAGGCCTATTAGTTTACTACCTATAGTTGGCAAAATTTTAGACAGGATATTCACTACGCGATTACAATTTGAAATTAGTAAAAATGGCGGATTAAATAAAAATCAATATGGGTTCGTTCCAGGACGGTCCACCACAGACGCTGTAAATGCAGTCATAACAAGTATAAAAAACTCTCGCGATAACGATAACTACGTCGCTGCTATTGCACTAGACATTTCAGGAGCCTTTGACAACGCTTGGTGGCCGCGTATAATTTTGGAATTAAAAAAGCGTAATATTTCAGGGACTTTAGTTAATTTATTGCAAAATTATTTCAGTAACAGAACAGCTGTTGTCGCAATTTCCGGTACTGCTATTGTAAAGGATGTTGAACGGGGTTGTCCACAAGGCTCGTGCTCCGGGCCATTATTGTGGAACATCCTGTACAACACTATTTTCGATATTCAATTACCGGCGGGGTCGAAAATATTTTCATTTGCCGACGACACATTGCTTGTCGTCGAAGCGCGTCAATATAAAGTTTTGAAAAGTACTGTAAACCAAGCACTCGGTATGTTGTCAAATTGGGCGGACGATCTAAAGTTAAAATTTAACGAGGAGAAAACAGAAGCGCTGTTTTTTGGGAAAAATATTAATCAACAGAGACCTGCTTTTAATTTCAACGGGCGTTTCGTACATTGCTCTGAGAGCATAAAATATCTAGGTATTTTTATTGATGAAAAATTGTCGTGGAAACCTCATATACAGTATGTCACGAACAAGGGGAAAGAAATTTCACACAAAATTGCCGCGGCGACAAGATTAACTTGGGGTTTCAGGGGCGCGGCTTTATCAAAAGTATATGAGGGCGCGGTACAATCGGCCATGCTGTACGGAGCACTGATTTGGGCAGATGGGTGTAAAGTAAGAGAATGCAGGTCTCTTTTAAGCGCGCAAAGAACTTTAGTTGTAAAAGCAGCGGCGGCGTATCGCACCGTATCCACGGAAGCGGCCTTCGTCGTGAGTAGAGTACTGCCGTTTGATTTGTTGTTGCAGGAAACAGCTAAAAAGTACAGACTTTTTGCTGATCAACCACGCGACAACGACATTATTGATGTACAACTCCAGGACCGACAGCTCGAACGACGTGTCAACCTAGCGGACGCTACGCACCCGGCGGATATGGACAATTTCCGGTTTACGGAAGGAGTCCAAAATGCATACGAGACTGTCTGCTATACGGATGGATCGAGATTGGACGACGGACGAGCTGGAGGATCTTTCATACTCTACCACGGCGATACGGAAATTCATCGGGAAAATTTCACCCTCGCGGAAAATAGTACTATCTTTCAGTGCGAAATGGTAGCACTACGACAAGCAGTAACACATCTACAGGGGCAAACGGACATAATCAAGGAGTGCTCCATCGTGACGGATAGCCTGTCTGTTTTGACGGCTCTTCGCAATATGAAACAACCGACCGCTTTACAAGTGGAGACGTGGGAACTCGCAATCAACTTGTCCTCCGAAATTTCCATACGTTTCCATTGGACACCGTCGCATTCTGGTAATGCGAAAAACGACGCTGCGGATGAATTTGCGAAGGCCGCCGCCACTGACCAGGCGACAGCACCCATCTACGACCTGGTGCCCAGAGCAGTCGTTAAATGACGATTGCGTACTTTGTCTCTGGAGGCTTGGAAGGAACGATGGAGGACTGCTACAACCGGAAGGACTACGGCGAGCTTCTTACCGGAACCCTGTTACGACAGGAAGATCACCGGGAATTTCGACTTCTACATGGTTCAACTGATGACAGGACACGGGAATTTTAAATCATATCTGAAGCGTATCGGCAAAATCGAGGATATTTGCGAATGCGGTGGCACCGATACGGCGGAACACGTCCTGTTCGAGTGCGACCTAGTTGAACAACATCGCGGCGCCGCCGTCCGGGCCCTCGCGATTCACGGCTTAAGGTGGCCGACCAACTATCGGGAGGTCACACAGCTGTGGAACGAAAGGGACTGGTGGGACGCATTTCGGACATTTTCGGGTCGTGTCGAAAAATTAAAAGTTGACAATTAAAATGCCCTTGTGTTGTGCGCGCTCTGTACTCGTGTTCGCGCCCGTTTGCTTCGGTTTCGCGTTCGGTTAGCGTTCGGTTTCCCGTTTTTCGATTGTTCGCGGTCGCGGTCGCGTACGCGTCCCCGTGGAGCCACTCTGGAGTCAAAACGACGCGGAAGACTGAAGCCTGCGCATCCACATCACCCAGCCACGGACCATACCGAGAAGGCGACCAACAGGATAGCGGACATGGAACAGCACCGCGTCGGTTGCGGACCGGAAGAGCCTGGAAGACTGAAGCCTGCGCCCCCAAACGGCCCACCCCGTTGTCAAACACAAGCGCGGCGGAATGGAACAGCACCAGGACTCGGAACCTCCAAAACATTTGGCTTCGGGAAAGTGCGAGCCTCCACTCGAACGTTCGTTGCGTCAAATTATCATTCTCGCGTGTTCTCTTTCGACAATAGCGTTAGTTACTCACCACGGGATAGCTACGTGCGCGTTCGATGTTGTGCTACCAAAGTGATTGCTATTAACCGGGACAAACAAAATTCAAAATTTCGCGATAAATTATATTCGGGGTTTATGTAAATATGTATATATGAATTTTCGGTTGTGAACTTCGGTTCAATGTTCTATTATTTTGTATATATTTTTCTGTCTTTAAATGTAATACATATGTATACATAGGGCGATGCTTCAGCACTAAAACGAAATGCATTACGGTATATTAAACATTTTGTTAGTTTTATTTTGATTCCATTCGACTGGCAAAATATTGCTGTCGTATTGGTGCCGAAGCAACGTTATGGGTAAGAGTTTGTAGTGGTCTGGTTGGGTTTTTCTGGGTTTCCCCAACCCTTGCAGCGAATGCTGGACCACATGTAAATATTTCCCAGGCTGCACTGAAGCGAACTCTAACTCTCCTAGTGGTACATTTTACTTTTGTAAATATTTTCATATGCGATATTTTAATTTTCACCGGATGTTCCGATACGAATATGCAATACATTTGTACAATTAATTTAGTTACATTCTATTTTTAATAAATAAATTCCACGTGTGGAAACACCGTATTGCATGTTCGAAACGGGGCATCTTAACTCAATGTAAGTATAATTAATGCAGGCCCTCCTCCCTCTCTGCTCACCAATAAATTGTCTTATGTAAAAATAAACAATAAAATTACTTTCGAAGGTTCTGGTGTTTTTCTCCCGCGAAAAGAGCAGACGGAGGGGAAAAAGTAGAGATTGTAGTTATATCGAGTTAATTAGTTATTTTTAATTTATTGTTAGTTTTATTCTTATAATTAAAATAGCGCATATTATCTTTTGTAAATATCTTAGTTCGAAAGACCGCCGCTGTAGTACCGAAAGGTGGAGCAGCGGCACCATGTAAATATTTTCATTAATAAATCATACTGTCGTTACTATTGACGATAGCGTATAACGGGGAAGAGACGGCTGAACTGCCGAAGTTCGAAGCTTTCGTCGAGCCCAAAAAGAGCTGGCCAAACCACGCGTCCAAGGCGTACATTGACATTCACAAAGAATTGTTGACCAACCTGCCCAAGCGGGTCAAGGGGGAGATGGTCGAAATGTGCCAAGCAAACACAGTAGGTGCGGCCGCGACGACTCTACAACAGACCCAGGCGAAAAGATGGGTATCACACCACTGGCCAGAGAGGGAAGAGCACAGCTACGACGCGGGCAGTGACTGGAGGAAAGCTATGCTCGACAAGGTCGACTTGGAGTCATTTCGGTTCGGCATACCGCGCAAATGCTCACCGAAGAGGACATAGCCGGACGTAAGGGGGTACCATTTTTCATCGCACGTCGCCTAGGCGGGACGAAGCGACTCGGCCCTTATGTGAAGCCGGAACAGTGGGGCAAGTATCAAAGTACCGAGGACCAATTCCTACCGATGACAGCAAACGCATACGAGCTCCAGACACTGAGTTGGTGCGTGACATCCATAGCTCCCTTCCATGGAACGAGCAAATCCCTCAAACCGGCGAGGATGCTATACATCTACATGGGCAACGGAGCAGGCAAAACCCACATTACCAAGCTAGCCACAGACGCCCAAGATCTCGACATGGTTGGATATGGGTCAATTCGCCAGAGAGCAGACGCCGCATGGTACAAGAGCTGCTTCGAGCCGTTCACCAGGGTAATGGAGGAGCTGCTGAGGACGGCGTGGACTAGGTGCCCCGTGCTACTGGGACAGGTTGCTCCAAGCCTAATGCTGGAAGCGGCACGCAGATGCGGAATCGGACTGGACATAGCAAGCTTCGACCCTGGGAAGAACATCAGGAAGAGCAGGCTGTTGGCGCGGAGAGACTCGGATGCAGGCCGTGTCGAGAGACGGTTAAAGCGGAGCAATGCAGGATACGCAGAGGCCAGCGAGCTGGGAGCGACCACGCTGCACAACGTTCCCGAACTACTTAGCCGCATCCACGCATATGCAGCAACAACAAGGGTGGAACTGGACAAAGTGTGCACAGGAGAGG